AATGGATTGTTTCTCTCAAATTCTTTCTTTTTAATACTTCTTTATAACTGATTATTTTTGCAGGGGCAATAAATAAAGTCACTTGTCATATTTAGCAGAAACAATCAAATTTTTCTGCTTTTATTTTTCTTCATTTGTATGAGTAACTTTTTTTTCTTAAAACTTTGTGACTTTGTAGTACGATAATTTATAAATGTTGAAAATGACTTAAAACCTGTTGACTACTGAAATTTTCTAAGCTAGAATCGGGAACACGAAGCACAGATCGATTTGGTAATTTGCAAAATATTTTCTAATTTTTTACCGGTACTATTTTATTCCAACAAAATACATATTTTTATTTTTTCTTCCTGTATCTCTTGCAAAAATCTGCATAAGCAATCACAGAAACACAAAGCCCCTTTCTTGCACTTTTCAACCATCAAACTCAAACATACAGCATGCATGTATTAACAAACTGATCAATAATTTGTTTTAATCATTGACTGTGTACTTCTTAACTTGTCTATGTCTTTTTAATAATACAGTTAAATTACCTATTTTATGGTACCTGTATAATTCATTGCAGGAAGCCAGGAAGAGAGTGTAAGGGGTGAGTTCATACAAAATCAACTTTGAGAGAACAATTGTTACGAGAATATCCTGGCAGGAACCTGAACTACACAAGTGTTTTAGTTTTACACCACTCAACATGCCCTCAAATCATTTTAAATGAGGCCTACTCTACTCGCCCTTACTCACTCAATTTCTCCCCATGGTACATGTGCGTAACGCATCAATATGGACCCCTTCTCCCGAAATCAGTGGATAAACCAAAAAAAAGACGAGAGTGAAGGACGTTTGCCTCCTGAACTCTGTGAAAAGCCACCATGAATGAATTTTGTCTCTAAGTTAGCCCTACCAAAGGAAATTTCACTTTGGTTCTATATCGTACCATGCTCAATGGGCTGATAGTTATTATATATGTATGAGGGGAGGGACGGTTTCCCTATTAGAAACCATGGACCTGGTCCTATTGGTACTGGTTTCCAGGAAAGCTTTGCTTGGAAGACAGGAAAGACAGCACTCAGAGCAATTAAAGGTGTAGCCCCCAAAAGGGACGTAGCCTGATTCCACCAATTATGGGGGCACTGAAACGATTGGGGGCACTAGTCTTACTCAGAAAACGAAATGTGCATTTACAAGGCTGCGAGTTAGATGGTGGGTGCAGTAGGTGTACTTGGCGATCCTTTTTCCCACCTCCCTTTCCCTTTCATCTTGATAGACTTTTCAAATGATTTTAATGTGTTGTATAATTTGAAAAAAAGCCGTAACGTGCATCAAAGTAAAAGTTTGAAATCATAAAAGAATTAACAAATCTCTAGTTTAAAACTCTGATAAAAGGTGAACCTTCGAAAAAAGATGAGTTGTCGCGCGTAACCTCTCCTCACCTGACTCTGACCTTTACAGGGGGGCACACGCCCACTAAAATGTTTGACATGACTACGTGCTCAACCTGCAGATATAAGCGGACACAGATCTTTGATTTCAGCTGAACCCATCTCAGATACAAATGACGATAACCAGTACCAGATTTTGCCTCTTTCTTGCCTCATTTCAGCGAGTGCACAAAGGGAGAAATGAGCAATTAGATTTCCTGCTATGATTTCTGTCAGGAAGATCGCAAACAATGAACGAGCTGAGGGACTGACAGTGAACGACACGAGAGAAACATGGAAGCCAGCCCCATCTCAAAAGGGGAAAACAGAATCACTCAGTTTTCGGCTTGGATTTCAGTCTTCTTCCTCCTCCTTTTATGTTTGACATCACCCGCCGTTCTTCTCTATCGCCCGCTCCGATCGGAGAGATTAATGCAACAAAGGAAACCCAGACACTCCTTCATTCAAAACGCAATGCCATGTTCACATTTTCTCATCATCGTGATTAATGTGATTTGGAAGCTCTAGTGAGTACAAACATCAAGCACACATATAATTATGGATGTTCATGTATACATGTACGGTACAAATAGGCAGGGCCCAACACTGACTTTTTAGAACTTTTTAGAGTCTGTACATTATGCATAATCCCTGTGTTAACTTGTTGAAATTCTGGGGTCCAGACTTCGATTTTGGGTGCCTACATGTGTCCCGGGCACCTGATAGTGCCAAGCCCTGATTTAGATAGGCCTACAGTCATTGTAACTCTACAGCAAAAGGGAATTCCCCATGCTTGTCTTGTACTAACTCTAAATAAATTATGTACTTGTGACATCTAGACTATATAAAAAAAATAATGATATTTATATCTTATACTTTTACAACAAACTTTTCATATTGGACAATATCAATTCATTCATAGTGTAGATGTGCTTGAATCTATTTGCAGTTTCACATACAAATTATCATCACTTACTGGATATCAAGAATAAAGTTATTCATGAGACGGAATCTTTTTGGAATCATACCCGTACAGATCTGTTGAGTGTGAACTCAGCTAGTGACATTTTAGAAGCTGACTGATAATCATGATATCTCTGGATCAGCTAAACATTTGGAGATTAATCTGTGTATTCAGCAAAATGCCAAGTCAATCTGCACTTTTCTTCTCAAAGAATCCAATGTCGGCTTTTGTCTCAGACACTCTTTATGAACTTCAAGCACCAAGCCGACGACGTCTTACGCCCATAGGCTTCTCTATATTTACGACCATCGTTTTTTGTGAGCTCAAGAGTTATCTGAAAGTTGCATCTACGTGTATCGGGGAATGATAAGGGCCTTGCATGAAACATGGAAAATGATTTCAACTTAAATATTCCTTGTTTGTTATTCCAAAACGCATGGAAACGTAATAAGGTCCTATACTGTATAGCGAAATACAATCATGTGTAATACATGTATCTTCGTGGTTTCTTGCAATCTCTCAACGATCTTAAAAGTGATGATCATATTTGCAATTAAAACTGGATTATAGCCGATTTTCTAATTTTCAAAGTACCTATTAGAGTCATATATAAACGTTTTACTTTGTAAGTGGGAATTCTTCATGACTGAGATGCTGAATGAAGTCAATGGTCATATGAATAGTAAAAGTAAAATTGCAAGGAATTTAATTCTTTTAGCTTTATTTGTTTAGAGCACAATGAAACTAACAATTCTAAGCACAATTACTTAAATATATTCTTTAATAACTAGTGTTACAATTTAGCTTAAAGGATGTGTTTGATGGGTACACTTATCACAAGCATATATCTCAACAAAATTTATCTTAGAAACTACGGTACACTATCTTTTATTAGAAATGAGTTTCGTTTAACTTTAAGTGAAAATGATGATAGGAAATTGCTATCATTTCTTGTAACAGCTACAAGCCTGGCAAATGCTTGAGAGTGCTGAAGATGATTCATTGACCGTCTTTATTTCATGATTGACTGCAGATCTACGAGACGTACTTGACACCACCGTATAGATACTGTATATCGTAGCAGTTAAAGATGATTTTTCCGACAAAAAAAAACAATTACTCTAAAAAAAAAATCTATAAAGTACAACCATATAACAAGACCTCTGAGATTTTCATGATATCAACTATAAAAGTATAAATAGTTGTCGGGAGGGTAGGTGTCCTAGAGGATGGTTGTCGGGTAGTTGTCTGGGGGGGGTCGTTGTCCGGGGGGGGGGGGGGGTCATTGTCCGGGCTAGTTGTCCGGGGGAAGTTGTCCGGGGCTAGTTGTTCGGGGGTAGTTGTCCAGGGGGTAGTTGTCCAGGGGGTAGTTGTCCGAGGGGTAGTTGTCCTAGGGGGTAGTTGTCCTAGGGGTAGTTGTCCTAGGGGGTAGTTGTCCTAGGGGGTAGTTGACTGGGGGTGGTTGTCAGGGGGGTAGGTGTCCTAGACCGTTTATTATGTACAAAACTGTCACTATTTTCTGTTTTTCTCCCAAGCGTCTCCACTTTTTTCGTCTTTCTTCTAGAGTAGTTCAGGAGTGATATGAAAGTTTAACAGAATTCAACCTTCTCTTTAAGGTTTAGGTTACGTCAACATTCACCAAGGTGCCATAAACTTGAACATCTCTATTACATCTAATATCTTCCAAACAATGGCAATTCAAACCTCTTGTCAAGAAAAGTACACAGGTGCATAAAACCACACCCAGCAAATATACTGGTAAATTGAGCATCAGTAATTTGTCCCTTTTTGTCACCAAAAGCGACAATTTGATGCAGCAACAGACGTTGGGTAACTCAAAGTAATGCAGCTCCTCCTTGAGCACTTCTGACATATCAACATAAAAAGTTAGAATTCAATCCGACAAGACTTATTCCACTCCTTGCTGATACGGTTCATATCATCAGATAGATTCCAATATGTGGCAATGCTTTAGACTTGCTTCCAATTACACAAGCTGACAGCGAGGTTTTGTAACCCTTCCCCTTTGGTTTTCTCTCCCGTTCTCCGAGGGAACAACATTGTACACTTTGTATTAGAAAGAGGAAGCCTCTGCACCGGGTTGATTCCCTCACAAGTGTTGCAGATAATTAATTTGACATGAATCTCTGAAAAGAACACATTGTTTTGTTGCACTTCACACCATTTAAATGAAAATCAGAACTGGGCGCACTTGGCTTTGATAAAGCGCAAACTGTTGACGTTCTGAATGTAACGTGAGACTTCCTGACTTGTTAAAAGAATACATGAAAGTCTTAACGCTGATAAGAGTCGTCAAAATGGTTCTTACAAAAAAAAACGGGAAATAAGAACGAGGGGTATCTTGTAAACCAATTACTTCTAACATTCAATGCCAATTTTCTTTACAACTGTTTTTCTTTACGAGCAATGAACATTATCACGCTATGTACATCACCAACTCCCAACATTTGTTCTTCGGGGGGGATCTGTTTAGACTTCAAACTTAATAAAATGTTTAAGAAATACAGAGACCTTCTTCTTCTGTTAACAGATGGTCTGTATAAGACTCTATAATTGATGTGTAGAACTAGAAAACGAAATAAAAAAACGTAAATTACCTTTTCCGACTTGACTGTTGCCACTTCATTGATGTAATCTTTGAATTTCTGCCTGTTCAGAACTGGAAAGAAACAAAGAAAGAAATCAAATGAAATTATGAAGTATGAATCTGCAGTTTCTGGTTTTAGCTGCTGAAGTTGAACCTAGGAAAAACGCTAAGAAAAATCCAAAGGAATTACATTTCTGTAATCAAATGTATATATACCGGTATGCACATTTAATTGCTGAAGTCAAATTTCATCTTGCTCTAGAATATAATAAAATACATTATCAAAAATTACATATATGTTGATATCATAGAAATTTTCATGAAATTTACTCTCTATATGTTCACTGTCGCACTCCAAGAATGAAACAGAAACTGTCAGCAGTTTTTATTTTTTCTAATTCAGAGGGCACTTTTTAAGCTCACAAATAAGTATGTACACGTGATATACCCTTACAAGTATACAGTGTGAAGATACTGATATGCAGCTTGTACTTGCAGGTGATTGCACTCCCATGATTGCATGGTTACATAATGTAGGTCAGGTAACTTTGAAAATAAAATAATTGACCATTTTTAACCACCTTCTTCCCCTCTTTACTTATCATATCAATATAACTTTTCTATCTCTAACTACATTTCACTTCACATGATAATGAACAGCCCGTTTCCCGAAGGACAATTTACACCCTCCAAACAGTGGATAGAGGATATACCCAGACTAACAACCACTCCCCGACTGTTAACAAAAACATGGATTCTAACATAAATTGGGCTTGTTTCACTTTCGTATGAGCCCTCCCAATAGAGATGAGTGTCCGTAGAACATGAAAGTTGATGAATCTGAATTTTTCTTTCCAAAGAATACCCCCATATTTGCAATTTCCTGAAATAAAGTGTTATTGTTAAAACTGGGAGGGAAAGAGGGACGTACACCGAGTACAAGATGGAGGAAGCCTGATTAGACATCGGGAAATGCCTTAAAACTTTGGACACTGTCAGATTTAAGAATTAGTCACATGCCTTGGTTTCACTTGACAACTTTTATCAATTCCTCTGTAGATTTCCTTCATTCACCAAATAAATCATTAGATCAATATTATCGTAAGTGAATTATGACACAGAATGAACCCGAGATTGAGCATGATATTGGCTTGCTTATCACAGCCTACTGGCCAACCCTAAACAAAACTCTCTGAGGGCTCTAATCCATTTCAACAAAATTATTTGTACTATGAAAATAAAAAAAAGACATTGCAAGGATTACTTGGTGGCCTACAGGGGCAATTTGAGTTTTAAGCCAAGTTGCACTTTTCAATATTGTCTTTTGAGCACTGCTAAACTATCCCTTACCTAACAAATACAGGCATAAAACAGTATGTTTATGACATTTAGGAAGGGTGTAATAAGAAATACAGAACATATTTTAATAGTTTCTCAGTTGATGTAATGTCTATATTGTCAATTTTTGCTTTACTGAAGATTTTTACTAATGGGTTTGTAGAAAAAGGGGACCAGCCTAGATAGGTCAATGGCCCTTTCTGGTCCCTCACATCCCTACTCTAGTACTCTACCCATTAATTATTTTTTAGTGTTACTGTTGTTGTTGTATTTATTCTTATCTCATTACATACTTTATATATAATGCATTTTATATTATTGTATTTGATAGTTATATTGTTGTAAATTTTGTATTGGAAGTGAAATAAACTGAACTGATTTCCCTTTCCATTGGTAATGGTTAGCACTATGAACTTCCTTCCTGCTTGAAAAGTACATACACAAAGTCTGGAACTAAATTCTGGAACTAAAGTACTGGTAGCGTGTTTTCAACCAGTGTACAGTGATATTTGTGACAAAAGTGTATTTCTATATAAGTGTAAGTACAGTATGACAGTACAGTAGTATGAGTTAAACATACATGTACAATTGTACATGTAATAAGCAGTATGAACACACATTACACAAAATTGTAATCATGTCTGTTGCACTTAATCATCCAATTTAAAATAAGAACATTTTAAATTAATTAAGTTAATGCAAAACATTCAACTGGAAACACATGAAATGATTTGTGATTTGTGAAATCACTGTTTTCACTTGAATACCATACAAAGAAATAGATGAGAACTGGCTGTCACTTGTAAACAAAAATTCTCAAAAAATGACAAGGCTTAAGGCTACTTGAGCCATTCCCTTTCACTATAATGTATCTATATATATTATCTCTCATTACTCTTATGCCCCTATAACTGGCCACAATGGCTTACCCCTAATGCTAACTTTCAATTCCTGCTGTACATGTTACAGTGTATGTATTCATATTGACAAGAAAGCACATTTTAAACTATAATGTATACATCTTCACCTTTTTCTTCAACTTTTTTAGTACCAGTATATATATATATATATATATATATATATACATACCGTACATGCATGCAATGGCAATTGTGTTCACAATAGTGAACATAAACTCTACATGTTTTAGAAGAAAAACACTGAAAAATTCACTATAAAAAAAATATTCTTTACAAAAAGTGAATCCAACAAAAGATAAGCTTAAAGTCTATTCCAAATATAATTTCCTTGTAAAAGATGCAGAAAAACAAAAGAAACTGAGCAAAAAAATTAAGTAAAATCAGATAACTAATAAGGAAGTTATGAATTTTTGTTAAAGTATGAAAAACTATGGAACTTAGAAAATCACTACACAAATTGCCAATTTGGTTATCAGTTTGTGACGTCATTGCCTCATTTTTTTATCAATAGCTCTATAAATTTTCATCCCGTTAATTTCCCTTTTTATCCTTAAAACCTTGATTTCCCCATGTAATGCCTTTGCCATGGTTATATGATTTGTATTATATTGCGTGCATGACATTTCACAAAATCTTATTTTAACTTTGAAGAATTGATATCATTTTCTGAATATTGTATATTCATAATCATTGATTTTTATCTAAATAGCTTATCAAAATTCACATATTTCAAGATTTAACTGAAAAAAATTACTCTATATTAGTGCATCCACACAAAACCATATTACTATCAATATAACTTGGATGCTGGCGTGAAGAAATACAATTTTAGGGGGAAATTGGAAATTGGAAATTTATGTTATCAATAAAAAGAAAAACAATTAGTGGATAGTGAGGCAATGACGTCACAGATGAGATGCCAATTTGTCTTGTGATTTATCAAATTTGTTCATGTCATTAAAAATTCATAACTTTCTTATTAGTTATCTGATTTTGCTTTTAAAAAATTCAATTGATTGGTTTGTCTGTTTTGATTTTTCTTCTATTGAAAGTCAGTTATTTTTGGAGTGGACTTGCCCTTTAAATGAAAGAATACTAATATATTATATTGGAGAATGAACTGGGCATGAAAAATTCATCTATTGTAAAAAGTTAAATTTTGGTAACCTTTCTGACCTGCTCAAGCCAAGTTTTAGGTTTAAATTTGTACTGTTGCCTCATACGTAGTCATTTATTGGGGCATCCGGGTCCAATCGTTTTTCAGCGATTTGAAACTACTATGGCTCAGGCCAACATGTAGGATGTACAGTGTATCATTAAGGAATGATATCACCCTGCTCAGCCACCCCACCACACACAAATTAAGCAAACGTACATGTACATGTAAGTCTGTATCACACTGATAATCTTACTATCGGTACATGTAAATATCAATAAGTCTGGGTGCGGCCTATGCGCAACAACAGTGAAAATCAGGTCACCTTGAACCATGAATTGGCCGTCAAAACAGCACATATGCGTACATTTGGGACTACAATGACTACACCAGTTAATGTACAATGGTACAGGACATTTCTAGAATAACTCCAAACATCTTACGGACAATTTTGTGTTGCATTTGGTAAACGATATACAGTCAAACCTGCTTTAGTGACCACCTGTCTACAAAGACCACCTGTCTACAAAGACCATATTTGTTGTTTCCCTTGAAAATGGTTTCTCATTAAAACATGTACTTAAGGAACCTGTCTACAAAGACCACCTGTCTACAAAGACCACTTTTTGTGTTTCCCTTGGGTGGTCGCTATAGACAGGTTTGACTGTATACCCCTACCACAGTGCAATGCGAAATAGCATGAAATGGATACCGAACAAAAAAAAGTTTTGTCAATCTTGTGAATAAATGTCATGACTAATTTTTCAAACAAATACTACCAGTAGAACTAGATCAAAGTTTGTGCTGTCGCATCGCTAAAGTAAAGACTGCAACAAAGCTACCGCGCAACGCAACTACTGCGCATCCACTGTCTGCACGCGCGAAGTCTATTTTCTTTGTATCCATTTCAGGCAATTTCGCATTGCATTGTGGTAGGTAGGGGTATATATCCTATACCAAAACTGCCTGCGATACAGTACTAGCTTCAAAATCAACAAAGATTTGCTAAACTACAATCTTTTTTTTAAAGTAAATAATCCATTTGGGGTTTGCTCCGCTGAGACTAACGCTTCATTGAATCCCTCTCCTACATTGACTGAAGTCCGTGGTGCGCAATATCATAGTGGGACTATGTACTAACCTACAGTTCAGATGCATGGCGCAGCTCTACACCCATTGCACTACTTTTCCTTTGGCCAAAATTTTGTTAAAATATCACAAATGCCAGGGAACTCACCATTACAAAATCTACTTGCAATTCAACAAAAATGAATGAACTTGAATTAAAGGAATAATCTTCAAATTTCAAAATTTTCTGGCAAAAAATGCAATGAACAGTCTTGTCTAAGTGTTTTGACTCAAAACGAAAGTGTGTATGTACGATTGTACGGGCAAATCAAAACGTACATGTATGCGCCAATGTGCACTAGCAGTAGTGCTCCAATATTAAAGAAATCATCATTTGTGTTATGAATTACATGGCATTTCTTTCATCACAAAATATTGAAGATAGAATTCCTCTACTTCACACAAGTCCATGAAAGTTTCTCATTAGCATTAAAACAGTTTCTGATTTTATCTCATGTGGTATTTGTGATATCCACACTTAGCTTGGGTAAAAAGACAATACCTATGCACTTTAACTGCAGATGAGTGTAGTGCTCCGCCAGGACCGCCACTTTGCCGAGCTAGGACCAATGTATGCGACGCTTGCGCATTCACTATACAGCATGCATCCTATCAGATTCGCTTGCAATGTCCCTCGGCGAGAACAGTAAAAATGGGGTAGAATCTTAGAACATGTGGGGTTATTTCCAAAGTCTGGTAAATACTCTGCATTCACACCCTGGACTGCTATCAGCAAAGCTTTTGTGATGCAACAAATTCAAGACTCGTGGTTCAATCTACATTTTCAAGCATGAATGTCATACATTACCGTATTCATTTACATCATTCAATACAGCACCAAATTGTAGAAAGTCTACTGTCATACTTCCTGATCAGCCACATCGGCATGATTGTGTGCATTTGTGTATAATGAGCGTATTGACTGTTCATGTGTGCAAATGCTGCCTATTAACACGTAGTCCAGTGCTAGAGGTCAATACGCATTTAAGCATTGACTAGATCTATGTTTTGCTGGAGTGCTTTTGCTGACCAACTGGAAATTTGTGTGTAAATTGGCATGCCTGTTCAGAAGCTTTTGCTATGCATTCAAACACCTATCTATAGTAAGAAGGAATTTTTTTTATTTTTGATATTCCAGCTGTACCTAAATATGATATGAAACTCGGTAAAAATAAACTTATCAAGCCAATTACATTTTACAATCTTGGGCATAAATTATTTCGCTCTCACAATACACGCAAAACAGCATGTGGGACCACAGTGAACACTATTCTACACAATCTGCATTATGCGACCGATTTAAATCATTTTCAGCTGAATTTACCTTTGAATTCGGGATCATTTAAGTACTTAGAAAAGTGGCCGACAACTTCCACATTTGTAGCCTTTCCACCATTCGATACCAAGAATTTCTGAACCGCGTCAGCTGAGAATTCCTCTTCCGCGTCCGCCATGTTTGTTATTATTTAATTGCGCTTGCGCAGTGAAGTCCAACCCAGCTGATGTTTTCCGAACTTCCAGCCAAACATCGTGAACGTGGTACTGGTAGTGGTAGCAAACTTTCCTGGTAGACTGATAAAAGCAATTTTAGATCCAGGAAAGGGCCGAAGCGGGCGTCTTCACCCCATTCATGTAACTTTGGGGGCTTTCCGGGGGCTTTCATAATATTATAGGTAATTTCGCCTCTGGAAAGTGTGATTGGATGATCGGGGGGGGGGGGGGTGTCTGAGATGTTATAAACCTACTAGTACTTATAGTATTCGAATATAGATTCTCATTAACATCTTCATACGTAGGATGGCGACAGGGCTGGTTTGCTGACAATAATTAGTTTTCACAATTTATTAATGACACCCTTAGACCAAATTGTGTTAGTCTTTACGATTTTGTAAAAAAAAAAATTAAGAGAGATAGCTAACTTAGGCTTACCCCTAAACGCATTAGTAATCATATCTGGGCAGGTCAAAGCTATTTGGATTGTGACGTACGGGATATTTAGAGACTTTAAACAAGAAAAAACAACAGATGAAATTATTTATATGGCTATCTTTTGGTATGAGTCTGTGGCTATTATGGGCTAGTTTATTAGTGGAAAGTTTTAGTTCTGATTAACTCTTTAATTCATTTTTAATGTCATTAATGTGCTGCGTGACGTACGGTTTGCAGCGTCCCGAATATCCTGAATATTTGCAGTATCTTGACCAGCCACATTTGATTATTCTTAATTGTATATATCATTTCCAGCAGTTTATTTGAACTAGTAACAATTCTTATTACCAATTTGAATTTGTAGTATATTTACAGTACTCTTGTTCAGCCACTCATGATTATTTTTATTTATATACATATTCTTTTCCGGCAGTACTATTATATTGTTATTTTTTTGTATGTTTATCTTGATCCTGTTATTTCTTGTTTGTTTTAAATATGTCATTATTGATGTACCTTTGTCATTTTCTTTAAAATCACAAATGATATGTTTATTTGATGTATTTACATTGTTTCACACGGCCCAAATGGAAATCAGTCTTGTAACTGTTTGTGCTTTTTTAACCGTGTATAAATAAAGATATCAATTCAATTCAATTCATTATTTTAAAAAAGGCATCCATTTGGTTGGTAGTGACGTAGAGTGAGGGTAAAAAAAACTGGGGATATTCTCCAGGGTATCATTAGACTGCAAGCGCAAAAGGGGGACTATGTTAAAATCTTAATCTATAGTAAAGTGCATTTAATATATTTTTTAAGTTGAAAGTATAAATCGAAATATAACACTCCATCGCTTTGTGTCATCACGTAAAACTTGGTTTTGTTTGTTTTGTTTGATTTACTCTTCTTTTATTTGGTTTGTTTTGTTTTCTCTTCATTTCTTTTGGTTTGGTTTGTTTCGTTTTGTTTTTGGTTTGCTTTGTTTGGTTCTGTTACGTTTAGGTTTGTTTTGTTTTTTTAAATAAATATCGTGAATCTGACAAAGTGGAGTTGTATGCGTTTTCTTTTCTAATCAATGAATGAGAAAATGTAAACATACGAAGCAATCACTACGCCATCCATTTTGTTATCCCCTATCTTCTTATCTTATTAATCTAGGATGTCCTCTGTAAAACTGAGTATTTTTCTTACATTAATTATTCCGCAATTACAGGACAGAAAGTATTAGGCCTACATTTTTGAAAATTATTATGGGCCTATTCATGAAAACAGAAACAAAGTGCTCTTGTATAAATAACATAATGATTTGTGTTAAAATTATTTGGGCCTATTCATGAAAAAAGAAACAAAGTGCTCTTGTATAAATAACATAATGATTGTGTTATCGGATTATATCAAATTTTCCCAAATAGATACATTGCTTCTCTCAAACAAAAATCTTTTTAATCGACTCTTCTTTTTGTTACCCTTCCATAATTTTTTAATTATGACTCGGTCACAATCCATCATTTGCAAATACACATTTAAACAATGAGAAGGCTGGACTGAGCGAGAGCATTATTCATGATGACCCATTTTACCTTAGAGAGCCCCTACCAAACTCTTTCCAATCTACTCCATAATATTAGCTGGAGGGGGGTTGTATGGTGAATTGATGGAGTCATATCTGAATACTTTTCCAAACATGGCATAATTTGCTCCCATTGTCCCGAATATGATGATAATAAATTGTATGTAGATGTAAGTCCTTCTGTATTTTGAACGCGGACATGGTGACGAGTTTCTTCCTTTTCTCTTCCTCTTTAGCAAATTGGGAGTGCGCCCTCAGCTAGTGTAATTAAAAGCCGTACTTATTGCAAGGGAGTCCTGTGTAATGTTGTATTTCCAACACACTTAGGATAACATTTAGCACGCATTCCATTTTTTTTAATTACGCATACATTCATTTTTATTTTCCATTCCCCAATCAAAGAAATTAATTCAGTCAGTAATCATACTCAGATTTCATCTAAGCATATTGGTCTTGTTTATTTTCTACTTCTGTCTCTATATCGTCTTTTAAATCGAAAGGATACACTCTCAAAACACTGGTAAAAATCATGTATTAAATCTTGATGGTGTAACAAAAATAATCAACGGTAATAGAGTGTGGATCAACAATTTATCTCTATTGCAAACTTTTTTGTCTAATAATGTAAAATCGGTTTCTTGACACGCTTCTCACGTCGTATTGTCTCAGACGTCAATCATCATGTTTATCCTTTTTTTTCTGCAAAAATGTAAATAAGATACCTAAATGACTTTTTAGTTTCGCTCAAATAGTAGCCTACATCATCATTGTTTAAGGTTGTGCAGTATGTGCTTCAACCAATCTGTTTCTTTCTTTTCTTTTCAACTAGTTTGCTTTCACCATCCGATGGCACATAAATGTTCCCTATAACAATCGATTGCATTGTCAAAAGTTTTTTGTGTGTGTCTGTCATGTATGAGTCTTTCAAAAGACCCATGTTTCACTGAGTAAGTTTTGTGTTCTTTTTTAAAACTTGGAAAGGGTCTTTATTTGGTGCGAAGTGCGAATTCTGTATCCAGAAACTATCCCCATCACATCTGCAGGGCTTTTAACATTAGATGTATAGATTATTGCGCTTATGGGAGTAATTACTCTTTAATTAGCACCGGGCCACTGATTTAGAATGTGTACACAGGTCTCGTTCGTTTGTGTGTTTTTCGCGCTAAAGCCCACAGCCTTTTGGTCCTCATTTAGGCGATTATTGACAGACCTAGTGTTCTGTTTAGTTTCTTGACACGCCCGATCACAATAGATGGGACTGAAGAAAGGATGTCAGTCGAGGCCCGATAGCAAAGTGTGAAATAACTTGCCACAATACAACGGAAATGTCAGGGTTTATTGTTCTCTCTGTTTCTACAAGACACCAGTGTCATCTTCAGGTTTTATTGGCGAGAATCAAACCAGATTGCAGGTGTTCGTAATGGGGGTCTTGGATTTCTATGGTTTTTCTTGTCGTTTAGGCGCTAATGTACTCTACCGATTTTCAATGTACGGTGCCCCCCCCCCTTTCGTAACAATTAAAAGGAAATCTATCTTAACACTTAACATACATGAACCGGATTGGACCTGTACTAAGGCTATGGGAGTGATAGTAGAATTCAGTAGTCAAGAGGTTAAGCTAATATATTGTTTTTCTCAATGTATCAGTCTATTTCATTTGTTTGTTAGATCTTGTGGTCGATATAGATAAAGAAATTAAAGGAACTCTTTTGTTTGTTTGTTTTTTCTTCTACCAATATAGGCCTCCTTTCCACACCCCACATTCGAATCTTTTATTTTGACTAATTTCCAAAATTTATGTTACATTTAGTTTGAAGCGTGTATAAATTACAGTAGGCCTGGTTCAAAGGGGAGACATATTTATTTATGAGTCGGACATGACACCGATTTCATGTCTCATGAACTATTTGGAACAAGTTTATCTCGTTTTCGTTTTAGACTATTAATGTTCAAAGAAAACGTATACAATCCATGAACTTGATAACGCTACTTATAGTTCTTTTTTAAATCATATACCTAGAAGGTAAACATCTTCTTCAGCCATCCCGCCCCCTTGTTATACATTAAATCGTAACCCTGGCTACTTGATAGTATCCTGCATTTGATATTATGTAGGCCAATGAAATGTGTGCTTCCTTTGCTCTTTTGCATAATAAAAGAACCAATTATTTCTTTACAAGAGCAAGTTTTAAGAAATAAAGACAAGAAGGTGTTTAATCATTATTATTCAAATAGTTAGGTGGTTAAAGTACATTGCAAAATGGTCTTGTTCACGCTCATCCTTCTCTCAGGAGCATATCAACAATTATGAGGATTCTGTTTCAATAAATTGATTTGACTTGAAATTTGATATGATTTGACTAGATTTAATTTTATTTATGATGGAGTTCAGGTATCTTGTGTGGATACGGCCCCCTGTTTACCACCACCACCACTACCCCCCCCCCCCCACGCCACTCCCCCGTATAGTTAATTCCATCGACGGTCATTTCCACTCTACTCATTATAAACATTAAACCTATTTTCTTCATGCAGAATTCTTTATCTTTCTATCACTATTAAACCATCGTTCACTTACTCTTTGTATTAAATGGGGCATTAAAAGTTTTTCACAATAATCCAAGTATATGATGCAATTTCAAGTGCAGTGAAATTGGGAAATGCAACGCACTTGATTGGTTTTGTTATGAGAAACCAACTTCATTTCCACTCTACTCATTATAAACATTAAACCTATTTTCCTCATGCAGAATTCTTTATCTTTCTATCACTATTAAACCCTCGTTCACTTACTCTTTATATTAAACGGGGCATTAAAAGTTGTTTTCTATAAACCAAGTAGGATGCAATTTCAAGTGCAGTGAAATTGGAAGATGCAAAGCACTTGATTAGTTTCGTTGGGAGAAACCAACGTCATTTCCACTCAACTCATTATCAACTTTAAATCTATTTTCTTCATGCAAAATTCTTTCTCTTTTTGTCACTATTAA